AGTGAAAGCTATATGTGAAATTTCAGAACTTTTTAATATATTCTAGTAGAGTAACTTCCGGTAATGTGGACCACCATTTTATTTTTTCGATATTGTGGGCGTACTAACAGTAAAAACTGAAAACAAATTGTTTTCACAACATAGTAGATTTGTTGGCTAAGGTCAAGAATTATATATATTTGTCTATAAAATTTTTATTGCATTATATTTCAAAAAACTCTAAGCTGCAAATAAAAATAACTTGGCGTGTAATGTGGACCAGTATGTGTGTGTAATGAGTATCAGTAAGTTAAAGGTAGGTTGTGGTTTGGTTGTGATAAATTTCAATTTATTACACTCTTGGGTAACAATGAATGCAAAAATATATGGGTTCATGTTTTGGAATAGCCCCCATTTAAGGGTACCACCCCATTTGCGGTATTTTGAAGGTCCTTGCTTCATTATCCAACCGAAGCACCTGTAATTTCTCATATCGGGTTTTCAGAGGATAGAATTCCTCATCACATATTAAATTCACCCACGTTTTGAACTCATCCTCATGAAAAGGTCCCACTTTTTTATAGTGGTCCACATTACCCGACATTGAATATTTTTATTTAAAAATAATTATCGGCTTCAAAAATGAATAAAAATTAAAAATCGCCGATTGTAATTACAGCTAAACGTATATTTTTTATTAAAGAAAACAAGAAAAACCATATAACTTCTTTATATTCGAGAAAAACAAAGTGTTCGACTATTTTGCAAAAACGTTCGACTATTGTGCTAAAAAATGTTCAAATCACACTTTTACAATCAGAGCTACATTTTCTACTACTAAATTTTCAACATTGCAATTATTTATTAAAAACCAATTTTGATGTTTGTTTTCACTAATAAGGAAAATATTTATCAAGGCGGTATTGACATATTTCAAGCATTTTCTTAGATATGGGGGGTGGTCCACATTTGACCCATGGTCCACATTACCCGAAGTTACTCTACTAATTTAAAAAAAAAAAAATATGTTTGCCCATCATTCTACTTGTAATAGCTTAAGTTACATACCAAATTTCAGATATCTATCCCTACCTGTTTCATCGTAGTATAATATTTAGTACTAATTTGCAAAATTTGTTCACACATTCTGATTTGTTTATAAATGACAAAGCTGCATACCAAATTTTAGAGTTGTAGTTCCAACCGTTCTGGCGTAATACAGTTTTTAGTACCATTTAGTACCATTTAGTACCATATTTGTTCTAATTTCCAAAAAATATTTTTTGTACATCATTTTATTTTTAATGACTTAAGCTACATACCAAATTTCAGACATCTATCTCTACATTTTCCATCGTAGTATAATATTTAGTACATTTTAGTACCTTTAGTACTAATTTCCATAACTTGTTCACAAATTCTGATTTGCTAATCACTGACAAAGCTGCATACCAAATTTCAGAGTTCTACTTCCAACCGTTCCGGAGTAATACAGTTTTAGTACTTTTTAGTACCTTTTAGTACTAATGTCCAAAAAATATTTTTGCACAGTATTCTCTTTGTAATGGCTTAAGCTCCATACCAAGTTTCAGTTATGAATCTTCACCAATTCCATTCAAATACAATATTTAGTACTTTTTAGTACATCTAAGTACTAAATTCCAAATTTTTTTCACAAATTCTAGTCCGCTCTCCATAGACAAAGCTACTTGCCAAATTTCAAAGTTCTACATCTAACCGTTCCCGCGTAATACAGTTTTTAGTACTTTTTAGTACCTTTTAGTACGAATTTCCAAAAACCCCGCCTTATCACACGCCTACTCACCAAACCCCACCTACATGCCAAATTTCAAGCTTCTAGCTTTAGCCGTTTCGTCTGGGCGTTGATGATCAGTCAGTCACTTATAACGCAACTCTTTTATATATATAGATTATATTTCCCAAAATTAGGTGCACATTCAAAATATCGCCATGCTAAATTTTGCTGTCAGAATATGCAGACCATTGGACCTTGAAAATACAGAAATTCTGAAAATACCAAAAAATGGAGATTATATAAAAACCAGGGCAGATATTGAAAATTTAACTGAAAATGTACGGGATCTAAAAATGTGCAATGTCAAGATACAGAAATTATCGAAATTATGATTTTCACTCTCCAATAATTCGGAATGCCGATTTACTGCAACTTTGTTGGTATTATGACAACCTTTGTAACATTTACCTGTATTATGAAAACCTGTCGGTGGGAAATTTTGACTCAAACTCTACAAATGGAGCGGGACCTTTAAACATGGGCCTATATTTGAACAAAATCTATATTAATAAAAGAGTAAAGTGACTGACTTACTGACTGCCTTAACAATTAATCAACGCCTGAAAATGTGGGTGCGGTTTTTAGAAATTCGCATTAGAACCGGTGGCCCTAGAACTCCTAAATTTGGAATGAAGGTCACTGATAGAGTGTAGGATACATAGATTGCTTGGAAATTCGAATTATAATTACTAAAATGTACTACATTTGGTACACTTTCGTAGCATGTGAAGTAGGGTCGATATAAGGATGTGGTTTTCGAAGTGTATACGAAATGTACTAAACAATACTAAATTTGGTACTATTTAAATTTGGAGAGACAGATGGAGCTAGAATTCTAAAATTTGAAATTAACTGTAACGTCTGAGTGTATGATTGGGTCATGTAAATAGTTTTGAAATTTGTACTTAATTGTACGAAAAAGTACTAAATGGTACAATTTGGATTTGACTGAACCGATGAGCTGGAACATTGAAATTGATGTATGTAGTAATGGAAACTTGTACATAAATGTGGTACTAAATTTGATTCAGTTTGGATTCCGATAGAGCTGGAATACAAAGAATTTGTGATTAAGACAACTGTTGTGGTTCAGGATTGAGGTATGTAGAAAGTTTTGGAAATAATAAATTTGTACTTATGTACACTAATGTTATAAAATTTGATACAAGTTGGATTTAGATGATCCGATAGAGCTGGAATTCTGAAATTGGGAGTTAGGATCACTGTTGTGGTTTAGAATTGGGATACTCATGAATTTTTGGAAATTTCTACTAATGTGTATCACGCTAAATTTTATACAATTTCGATTTAGGTGAACTCGATGGAGCTGGAATCCTGAAATTTGGAAAATTGTTCTTATGTGTACTAAATGGTACCAAATTTGTTAAAAACTAGAATCCTGATATTTGGAATTTGGATCTCTTTTGGATTGCAGGATTGTGATATGTAGGATATTTTGAAAATTTATAATAATGTGTTTTTTCTAGATTTGGGTGAACCCGATAGAGCCTAGAAACCTGAATTTAGGAGTTTGGATCACCGTTGTGTTTTATAGGATGGGGTATAGGAAAATAGGATAGGAAATTTCTTCTAATGTGTACTAAATTTTGTACAATTTGAATTTAGGGGAATTCTGAAATTGTAACGGAAGTTTTTACTAAATGGTACTAAATTTGACACATAATAAATTTAGGTGATAGGGGAGGGGTTAGGATAACACTGTTGTAGTTCAGGAATGAGGTATTTAGGACGTTTTGGTAATGTGTACTAAATGACACTAAATTTTATACAATTTGGATTTAGGTGAACCCTATACAGCTGGGATCCTGAAATTTAGAATTAAGATTATTCTAGGAGGGTAAGATCTGCGGCTGAACCCGATAGGATTTGATTCTGTAGTAAGTTTTGGAAATTCGTTCTATTTTGATTTGGATGAACGGATGGGACTGGAATCCTGAAATGGGGAAATATGATTGCTATTGGATTATTGGTACTAAATTAAGTAAAATTTGAATTTGGATGAAACAATAGAGCTCGAATCATGAAACTTGGAATTGGCTTTGCAAATAAGTACTAAAAGAGTCCAAAAGCTCATAAATGATAACAAATATGGTATAGAGCTTGATTTTTGTTGCTGTCAGAATTGGTGTGTAGGTTTGAGTTATGGAGGTAGTTTTGGAAAAAACCTACTTCAAGAAAACGAATGTACTAAACGGTACTCAAATCTTAATTATTATCGATATTGGACCTAATCAACAAAGTAGCTCTTCTGACATATGCAGTTTTGTGTGCAAATAAAATGTTTCAATATTTCCCACATTTGGTAACGAAGTATTAGGCATATGCCAGTATATTTATAAACCTCCAAGATACCCGAATCATTTGTAAAATGTGTCAAAATACCAAAACGGCAGTGGACCATTATATGGGGTCTAAGTCAAAGCTGGACATATCTTGATTTTTGTTTTTGTATTTTCAGTAATTAAGGAAATTTATCGGGGCTCATGGTCTGGCAGGTTGGAAAATTCCCTGTGGGAACCCAGCAGTTTTTTTAAAGGATTTCTGAGCAAGGACCGGTTAAAAGTGGGAAAGGACAATGAAAACATACGAATGTCGATTTATTGTCTCTGAAGAACATGCCGAAAATCTTTTTAGCAACACTTCCATAGAATATTTGAAGGTCAAAAATCTCGTTTTGAGGTATTTAGTTTAAGTTTCAAGAATATAAGGACGGAAAATACTCGAAATAGAAGGTGGAGGTGTTTTACAAAAATATTCTTCATTAGATTTGGATGCAAACATCTCAGCTCTAAAATAACCTGCAATAGAATTAAACCCTTTTCTCCATCCTCAATTACTTGACCAATGACCCAGCAGGACGGATGCGTAATATACTCGACAAAGGTTTTCCTGTGCAGTGTAATTAATTTTTTTATATTTCTGAAATTTATATTTTGATGTTATTTACTTACAAAACGTATGGGTCTATCAACCATTAAATTTAAGTGATGATAACTCATCAGCGATAGCTATGGATATCTAACACATTATTAACTTTTAGTCTTTAATTTAATTTCTTAAGTATTTATTTTATTAATTAATTTATTTATGTTTTTTCTTCTTTTATTTATATTTTTCTGGTTTTTTTGTTTGACGGTCACCACCACCACTACAACAACATTCACATCACAATTTGACATGACAGCTGTTGAGCAAACTTTGTTGGCTTACGGCAATGCCAATGGCACACAACTTTAAAGAGGCAGACAGACGTCAATAGCAATCAGCATCACCAACAACAACAACAACAACAACAAAAAACATCACACCATCACAAACAACAACTCATAATTGTTAGAAAGAAAATTTAGCGAAATTTTTTATTTTTTCGAAAAAGAAAAATAAATAACCAAAATTTTGTTTTAGCTCTTAGATGATATATACTATTATTTTATTTTTTTGTAATTGTAAAAGCAATTTTGTGAGGCGTAAATTATTAAACGCCAACCTATTTATTTTCAAAGATATCTTAGCTATATATTTTTTTTAATTTGTTGAACCATAAGATATCTGAGAAAGAAAAAAAAAACATTTTGCTTTAAAGAAGGGGCAAAAGAAAAAATTCAACAAGACAATAATTTTAATTTTTATATTAATTTTTAAGTTGTTTGCCTTAGTTTTAAATTATAATTTAAAAAATTAAAAAAACACCAATGCAGCAGAAAAATCCATCCACAAATCTACAACAACATCACATAACACATGACACCCGCCCTTACCCCTGCTGCAATACAATCAACTGTGTGCAAACTGATAATTTTGAGCCATAATTACTTAAAACCGAAATACAATTCAAAACATTTATATGTAATATTATTATAATTAATAGCTATATATAAAATACACCGTAAATAAAAAAACTAATTACAATGAATTAAAATAAATATAAACAAATTAATGTATATTTAATTTGAAGTAACAAAAAAACTATATTTTTTCAATAATTTTTTGAAAATTTTTTTCTTATAGGAATTTATCCATGTTAATTTTGAGGGAGTACGAACAACATTTAAATAAAATAAGACAACAAATAAATGTTTTTAATAGAAAAAAACAAAAAAACAAATTAAAAACAAAACAAAAAAATACAACTAATAAAACTCTCCACCACCATCCCATCATCAACAACAAATAAAAAAAAATCGAAAAATATTACTACTTACTACTACAACTACTACTAATACAACAACAACAAAAAGAAAACAATAATTACCCCAGCTATAAACAACAATAATTTAAACGACAACAACAACAGCAACAACATCAAATACGAAAACTACAACATCTATCCCTTTTCAATTGATCTAAAGTCTATTCAAAATGTATTTTTGAAAATTGATAATTGCGTGGATTGATGCAAAGCAAAATAATAGAAAATTTAGTAAAAAGAGAATAAAAAAACATAAGAAAAAAGGTAATAGAATGATAAATGTAAGAAATAGAAGCGAATTGAAATAGAAGACAAATTGTTGCCATATAAAAAAATATGACAAAGGTTTTTTTTTTAATCGAGAAGATTTAAACAATCTACAATAAATAAATATATTTTATAGGCAAAAACTTTGTCAAAAATAGCCAATAACACAAAATAAATTTAACACAGAAATATTTTCTAAAATTTAATTATTTAATTATTAATTGAATTGCCAATTGCCGAAATCAAATTACAAATGCCAGGTAACAGGACATTGCTTCTTTTCGGGAGAGATATAATTTTTGTTTTTTAATTATAATCGAAATGTTCGCCTTTATTGTCGTGTCGAAAATATAGCACTCTCGTGGTTAAATCACATATCTGTCTTTAAAGATCCTTAAAAAATATACTCTCAATGTTTTATTCTTGTTACAATTCGAACTAAATGATGTTGGAAAGGGGTTTCAACATAATTCTAAACAAGATGAAGGGATTCCATATTGAATTTAAAATGCTTGAATAAAAGCATCCCTTCATTCTCGATATCAAAAAAATCGAATTTTTGTTTTCTGTTGGTTCGATCCTACACAAATTCAAGAATTTCAATTTCTCAACAACTCTAAGATATAGCCGATTTATTGTGCCAGCATTAAGTGACGGCAAAGGTGCTGCTCAAATTTTAAAAGCGTTTTTCTCGAAACAGTGTTTTTACGATTGGCGGGCACGGTATCTCAAAAAACTATAAATCTAATTGGTCCCAAATTTTAACACGTTATTCTGGACATACATAGCTATTATAAATGTAATCGGTCAAGATCTTCTGTATTTTGCAGTTTAGTTTTTGGACTAAATTAGGCGATTTTTCAAATAATCACCTTTATTCCGTATGTCGTCGTCTTTGTCGACATCACTTCGCATCGACATCGTCATCACATTGACACTGATTTGGTATTCTCTAATATTCAGGCGACGATGTCGACTATTTATCGATAATTTCAGTAAAACAAAAAACACATCTCTAAAATTATGGTCAGTTGTTTATTTTGTTTGATATTTTTGCGCAAAAATGTGTTTGTATCCTTCACCTCACTGTGGTACAGGGCATTATTTCTTGGTACATGTGTATGCAACATCCAAAAGGAAAAGAGATAGACCCATAGTGTCTCCGTCCATGTATTATTTTGAATAAGTTACATGCTACCCTTATGATCCGAACGGGATGAAATTTGGAAACTTCCATCCAATTGGGATGCAACTTTATTTAGCACATAGACAGACGAGTCATATTGATATTGGTCAAAATCGGTTCAGATTAATATATAGATCCCATATATTTTTCTTTGTTTATTTACACCTAATTTTGCATTACGTATAGAATATATTCTAGAATGATGTATCCTGTCCTTGTCCGGTCATGATTTTTTTAATTTCTCAAAAAAAAAATTGTTCAAACACTTCAGTCGTCAACAAAAATTATGACGAAGAAATCTTCGACATCGTCTTCGTCACACTTTGTTACGGAATACCAAAAATGTTTCAATAGTTATCGATAATTTTCGACGACATAGGGAATTCCAATTTGCAAAAGACGATTATGTACGACGTTGTTTTGTGTCGACGACGATATACGGAATAATTTTCCTCGGTTCTCTATTTTGCTAATATGGGAGCAAAGTCAATAATCTAAGTTCATACCAGGGCCAGGGAATATTTCTAATTGCCTTGGAATTTTGAGATTCGCGACAATGTTATGCATTTAAGGAGAATATAATAGTCAGCCCTTGAACAACGACAACAAATGAGAATGGACAGTCTCAAGTTCGAATAGTGTGTTTAAATTGTTAATAAACTTTCACGATCAAATAGTAACCAAACTGTTGAGCAGCAAAGTTTCCGGTTTAAAACTGACATAAGTATTATCTTGCATGGTTTATACACTTATTCGTGCACTACAACCAATTGTCGGAGCACACATTCCGTCCCAATGGAGACACGTCCAAAATATGAAGTTTGAAATCTTCAACAGCATCATGGGCGTATGGCAAATTAATTCTACGGGTTTTTTTCGGTTTCAAGTTCGGATCGTGTGTGTAAATTGTTAACTTTCACGATCAAATAGTAACCAAACTTTTGAGCAGCAAAGTTTCCGGTTTAAAACTGACATAAAGTATTATCTTGCATGGTTTATACACTTATTCGTGCACTAAAACCAATTGTCGGAGCACACATTCCGTTCCAATGGAGACACGTCCAAAAAAATTAAGTTTGAAATCTTCAACAGCATCATGGGAGTATGGCCCATCAATTCTACGGGTTTTTTCGGGCGCCGATTGAAGCCGATGCATGAGAGCACAACGAAAAAATGTGGTGTTCACCTCAGAATTGACAGACTTACGTTGCTCTGGCAGGCAGGACAGTCGTCTATGACCAGTTTCGCGAAGGAAACAGGAGAGCATTTGCTTCGGTTTCATATGCAAACGTATTTTCAAACACCGCAATCTTTGCTTTTTTCCCCAATTTTAGAGTACCAATTTACCGAGTCTTTTTTGAGAAAGTGTCAAACTGTGCGGAACCCAACAACAGTTAAGATAATCTATGCACTCTTGTCGAGATAATCCACGTCAAAATTTTTGAAAATTATTATCGTCCGAAATGTATTCTTCATGGCACTGTAAACAACACATGACCGTACGTCAATTCGAACAGAACACGTTTATGTTAAATAATGTCAAACATTCGAATGAAAATGTTAGATGACACAATTTAGTGTTCTGAAAGTGGAAGAGGGGAAAGAAGAAGTGAGAGATCTAATCCAACAGTGATCTGTTATGATCCCCACAATGATTTTAATTTCTCTCATATTATGCGACAACAGCGAAGCGAACTTTTTGCATGGCTATAACAACACAACACATGGTTGTACGTCAGACCACTAACGGTTATGTTAAAACATTTCAAACTTACCAATGAAAATGTGAACACTATTATAGATATGTAGGCCAGAAATTAGGACCCTCTCATCAAAAGCACTTCATTACTTAATTAGAAGTCACGAATAATTGTAAAAAATTATAGGAAAAAACTTGACGAATTAGTACTTGAGCCGTAATTGTACTACGGAAATTACTACTTTTTTGGTACGATAAAATTCAATATAAATTCTTTTTGAATATTTAATAAATTTTCAATTCCTTCATATGATCTAAATCAATTAAATTCATTTCAAATTTCATAGGAAATCGAATTGGTGTCTATGTCATAAATTTGTTTCGCACAAGATTTCCTTTTCGTTTCGTCGGAAATACTGTTTGTTGGTGTCATTTTGTAATATATATGTTACCTGGTTGTCGTATGGTGGTTATAATCAAATTTCCAGCACAGGAAATAAAATGTCATTTCAAAGTATTGAAGGAATTTCCACGAATTAACAGATATTATTGAGATGACAAAGACAGAATATAACATAACAGCAGAGAAAAATATTTTAAAATTAAATTCAAAGTTTGCAAAAACAAATTTAAAATGAAATTAATGAATTCCCTTAATTTCAAAATACAATCACAGAAATTACAAAAAAAAAAAAAATACAAACCCAATAAATATGGAAAATATTCATTGATTTGCAACTCCTAAAAGTATGCAACTTATTTTGTGACAATAAGAAGGCGATTTTATTTGAAATTGTCCAATGGAAAAGGTCAAAGGTGCTGTTTTAAGGTTTACCCACTCAGCGGATGCGCAGCCTTTTTACAGATTTTCGATTTTTAAACCTATTAGAGTTCAAAAACGTATAAACCCGTATTAGTGACTTATAAAATTGAACAAAAAATGCGATTAAATCCCAGGCCCTCCATTGGCCATCCATGCTTATTGGTTCAAAATAAATTGCATA